CTTTTCTAGGAAACTCTTGAAAAACCTTATAAGTGTGGTTTTGAACTCTATATCCAGTCACTTCTTGTCCTCCATTTCTTTTGTTTGTGATCTGTTTCCTTGTCTCGGCATTTTCACAGCTTCCCTGAATTGGTAGGATGGCTTTGTGTACTAAAGTGTCCTATATGGTTCAGTGGGTCAGCCTCCCAGTTACCTTAGGTGGACAGTCTTGGTGTAGCCCTTTGTGGGTTGTGTGTGCAGTCTTGTTGTTAAGCCTTGCTTGTTGTTGGTATCACTAGTAAGCGTTGATCTCCAAGCTAATTGGCTATGAGGATCAGAAGTGTCTCAGCTAGGACGGTTTTTGTATTCCGCTTGGATGGGGTGGAGTCTCGGAGTGGCACAGCCAAGTTTGGTGAATCCCGAAAATTGGTTGCAGGTGCACACACCGCTTTCGTATAGGTGCAGACAAGCTTTAGATTCCTGTCTGCCCCTCCCTACGAGAGTCCTATTCGCGGGAACGAGAAAGCTAGCCACTGGAAGGGCTTCTGTGCTTCGCTTAGATGGGGCGGAGTCTCGGGTGGTGCAGACAAGCTTTATTCAGCCCCTCCCTACGAGGGTCTGGTTTCACACACCTCCAGAGATCTCTGCCCACTGCTTGACATCTGGCCTCTCCCTCTCTGGGGCGTCTATCAGAGCAATAGGGTGGTTCTGTTTTCCTCCCGCACAAGAAAGCCAGCCTCGCGTTAGCTGTCCGCCCTCTCAGTGCGCAGGGAGTAAGCCAGCAGCGACACGGCCTGCCCTCTCTGCGCTCCGCAAGCAAGCCGGCAGCGAAGTCGGGCAGCTGCCTTTTCGCGCGCACAGTTCTCCACACCTTCACAGTTCCTGAGGTTCAGCGTGCCTTCTCTCTCCTTCCCAGATGGTAGAGCCTCCTCTCAGCCAGCCGTCCAGCGCTTCAGGGCGATGTTTCCCCTGTTTTCCATTCCAAATTCAAATTTGTTGTGGTAGGCTGCATTCAGGTGTCTACCTTATGCCGCCATCTTGGTTTCTCCTGGGCCTCGAGTTTTATATAAGGGTCTTGAACAACCATGGATTTTGGTATCCACTGAGGGTCCTGAACCCATCCTCTGTGGATACTAAGGAACGATTGTAGTTAAGCTTTTGTGGAGTCAACAAATTTTTAGCTATGGAGAAAAGGGGGGGGGCAGGTGTTAGTGCCCTAACCCTTATGTTGCTCAAGGGTCAACTGTGTTGTTAATGTAAGCAAACAGTCTATTACAAGAAAGTACCCAAACTAATTTATCCACTTTTGAAAACATTTTTGTACTTATGTGCTCCTCCCAATTTTTTTGGAGCACAAATTATGAACAATTCTATAATCATTTTTTTAATGTACACTTTACTATTTGTCTGGTTGAGAATAGTTGGATTTGATGGGTGAAATGGAAGCATAAGAGTTTAAGGTTTTTTTCTTTTTGTGTGTTTAAGGTTTTTAAAAAATTAAAGAACTAAACTGTCAGCCAGTGTGGTTTTATTAGTTTATGATTCCAAGAACAACCATATGTCACCTGACTCACACCCACACCAACACGGAAAATTAGCATGCCTTTTCATCTTTGCTGGATCAGTTGAGCTGAGTGAAAATGGTGTCACATTTCTATCTTATTAGAAATTCTGGGGTTATTGGTAAAGGCGAACTTTCCTTTTGTATGTGCTGCTGGACTCATAATGCTGCTTTCTGGAGAGATGGTCTCTGATGCAGGGGGTTCTGTCTGTGAGAAGATGGGGCCTTACCATTGCCATCCTCTCCTGCTGCCCCATACCTCACACAGAGGTCCCCAGATGAGGAAGACAGAGGGGCTCCTGTGCTTATGCCATGTGGGGACAGTGCAAGGACAAATGGCTGCAGGAGAAGAGGAAAAGAGGAACTTGCTCATCATACACAGCAAAGAATGGGATATTGTTCTACAGGCAGAAAACTGTTAACAAAAGGTTGAGAAGGTATCCTATGAGAAATGGACAAGGACACAATTTTCATAGTATAGAGACAGAAGGACAGGTTCAGAGACACAGACAGAGTAGGATGGTGGCTGACAATGAGGCAGCAGAACTGAGAGGAGCAAAGTGACTTTCACCCAGAACCTCTGAGCAGCACAGTCTATGGCTGTCACGTAATAGCTGTGATTTGGGACAGTTTAGCTCACCCTGCTTTGCCTCAGCTTCCTGTTGTAAAAAATGGGGATAACAGAACTAATAGGTCATGGCAATGTGGAGGAAACTAAATGAAAAGTGTGTAAGCCACTCTTACTATATTTAAAGACTCAATAAACCTTACTTCTTAGAGTTTCTCAAGGTGAAAGGAGCTCCTATTCTTTGAAAGATCTAGATTGTACAAATTTCAACTCAGGGCTCTTTCCATATTGCAGCGCTTCCTCTAAACTGAATGGCAAGATCAGTTCCAAGCTGTTTCATTTTCCCTTCCCCTTAGTGCCTCATCTTGATAACTTCTGCAGCTCCCTGAGATGTCCCAAAGAATGACCTGTTTCCAATAGTCCTCTAGACCCATGCATGTACTGTCAATTCCTTTTTGACAAAGGAGCCAAAAACACTTAATTGGGAAAGGACAGTTTCTCTTCGATAAATGGTGTTGGGCAAACTGGATATTCACATCCAAAGGAATGAAATAAATTTGAGTCAATTGTTGACTTTATTTGTTTTCCAATATGAAAACATTAATCTTATGAAACAAAAAAGACACAAAACGAGTGAAATTCTAACGTGCGTTTTTGTTGTTTCACTGATTGCCGGGCCCGCTGGCTTCAGTTGAACAGTACCTAAAAGGGGGGTGAGGATGGAGAAAAGGCAACAAAGAGACAAACAAAGATGGGATCGGGAGGGCAAACAGTTCAAGACTGCCGCCCCGAATTTATTTCTCTCAGCATACTGATGCAATTATGATTACATAAGTATCAGGTGAGCGAAAGCAATTTTATCATTAGATCTGCACAGCTTTTTCTTTCTAGCCTTTACAGACTTATCAACTTCCCTCTGACCTGCCTCGTGACTACGGCCAGCTTCCTTGTTTCCCCGCCATCCTGCTTACTTCCCTTTACTCATACTCTGTCTCATAATATCTTGCTTTGTCTGCAAACTGGCAAGCCTCAGGGGGCCAAGGGAGTGGGTGCCAGACAGCCCACCTTGTGAAACACTTTGTCTCCTCGGGACTTTGTCAATCTGAGACTGCTCCCCACAACTGATCTTTTGCTAAAGAAAATTTCCAAAATTCAAATATTTGGCAGAACATGTACTCAAACATTTTACCAAATAGTTAGCAAATGCACATCTGAAAAAAAAGGCTCATCATAAACGCTTACTTAGAAAAATGCAAACAACAGTGAGATAGCATAAGTTATAAAAAAAAGTTTACAGAAAGAATGACTGACCAAACCAAATCTTCTCTAGGCTGTGGAGGAACGGAATACCTCACACAATGCTGGAAGAATGCAAAAATGTACAATTGCTTTAAGTCACAACTTCCTAATTTCTTTAAGTTAATCATTCACCTATCCTGACTCAGACATTGCATTATGAGTTATTGACATGGATAAAAGAAACATATCTCCATATAATTATGCATAATCACTATTAGGTGTGATTCTGTAGCAATTATGCTTTCTCTTAACTCCTATTGTCCTACCCCAAATGACCATCACATATGGAATTATAGACACTAGGACAGATAGCCCTTTGCAAGATCTTTGAAAGTGATTTCCTCCAAAAGTACTGGCATAACCTGTGATCAAGAGAAAAATCATGCTGCTCCCAGAAACACTTGAGGTTGTCACACCTGCCCCTCAAATATATTTTTATTGATTTCAGAGAGGTAGAAACATCGATGATGATGATGATGAGAGAACCACTGATTGGCTGCCTCCTGCACAACCTCTACTGGGGATGGAGCCTGCAACCCTGGCATGTGCCCTGACTGGGAATCAAACCTTGACCAATGCTCAATCATGAACCACACAGATCAGGCTCACCTGTCCCCTCTTGAACCTGATTTCTGTCTCCTAAAACTCATAGCATCCAGGCTTCACATGAATACCAGAGCCCTGCAGTCTTTCCTAGGAGGATGTGGAAAGCAATGCAAATTTGGCAAAAACTGGTGAGCTAATTTCAGCACTATATTGTCTCTTCAGAGGCAGAGAAAGTTTGAGACCCCATAAAAGTTGTTCACCTCTTCATGCTTATAGAGCTCAAGCCTGCTTATAACCTATCCCACACAGTAAATAAAACGTCTTATTAAAGAGGACTTAAACAAAAGGGCCTACATTATTTTACAAACTAAAGGGACATGGGCCTGGAAGTTCTTGCACTGCTGACTTTGACAATGGAAATATTCATCACAGGTATCTAGGGAAACATGTCCCTGAAAAGGTAGTCCTTCTGCAAGCTGCCAGCTAACCTTAGATGATGTTCTCTGGGGTCAACACTGGGTCAGGCACATGCCCCAACTAGTCAGAATGAAGGAAATACAGATCTCATTAAGGGCTCAGGCTACTCCTAATTTCCTCCAACAAATCCGAGAACAAAGTTAACTTATCTGTACACATCAGAATGGTGACTGATACATACTATAGAGACCTACTACTAGTAAGTGGTTAGCTTTGGCCACAGAAATCTGCAGTGACATAAACCTGGCAAAAACTCTGGGCAGGTTAGAAAGTGCAACACAGACACATTTCCAACATAACTAAACTTTAAGGAAAATCTCCCTACCATTAACATTTTGATGTATGAGATTAAAATCAGAAAAATGGGGTCTCAGTTTCCTCCAATATTAACAGTGAACAAAAAAAACCTGTGTTCCCTACTTCATTGTGAACTCGCTGATGACAACGTAAGTGTTTCTGGTAAAAGATTTCCCACATTCACTGCATTCATAAGGCCTTTCTCGAGTGTGAAATCTCTAATGATAACCAAGGCCACTGCTACAGATACAAGGTTTCCCATATTTGCTGCAATCATAAGGCCTTACTCATGTGAACTCTCTGATGACAACACAAGTGATAGTTCGTGACAAAAGATTTCCCACATTCACTGCATTCATAAGGCCTTTCTCCAGTGTGAAGTCTCTGATGACGATAAAGGCCAGAGGTACTGGTAAAATATTTTCCACATTCACCACACTCATATGGCTTTTCTCCAGTATGAACTCTCTGGTGTTGAACAAGACTTGCACTTTGGCTAAAGGATTTCCCACATTCGCCACACTTATATGGCTTTTCTCCAGTGTGACATCTCTGATGACAACGGAGGCCAGAGTCATTGATAAAAGATTTCCCACACTCACTGCACTTATAAGGTCTTTCTCCAGTGTGAGATCTCTGATGACAACGCAAGTGATAGTTCGTGACAAAAGATTTCCCACATTCACTGCACTCATAAGGCCTTTCTCCAGTGTGAAGTCTCTGATGACGATAAATGCCAGAGAGTCTAGTAAAAAGTTTTCCACATTCACCACACTCATATGGCTTTTCTCCAGTATGAACTCTCTGGTGTTGAATGAGGCTTGCACTTTGGCTGAAGGATTTCCCACATTTATCACACTCATATGGCTTTTCTCCAGTGTGAACTCTCTGGTGTTGAATGAGACTTGCATTTTGGCTAAAGGATTTCCCACATTCACCACACTCATGTGACTTTTTTGCAGAATGAACTCGACTGTGTACAATAAGGTTGGCGTGCAGTCTAAAGCATTTTCCACATTCACCGCACTCATATGGCCTTTCTCCTGTATGAACTTTCTGGTGATTATGAAGATCAGAAATTCTTGTAAAATATTTTTTACATTCACAGCACGTAAAACACTGTACTCCAGTACAGGCACCGCGGTCCTGAGCAATTGTTTGGTTGCAGCCAATGGCTTTCTTACATTCTTTCCTGGCGTAATCACTTTTTCTCCTTTTAAAACTCACACCAGATGCTGACATTTCACTTGGCCGACCTGTGGTGTGAGCAGCCTGCTCTTGGATATGTCCTGAGCTGTTGAGAACGTCCTGTCCAACCTCCTCAGAGGTAAAAGGCTTTTGTGACACATTGAAACGGCAGCCCTTGGCACGTGGGGCCCTGTCCACACCTCTTATGAAATGCATCTCTCTCACGTGCTGCTCCTGGTGCTGGGGACACTTTGTGCTGAGATAAAACCGCTTTCCACATGCCCCACATCTCAACAGTTTCTGGCTGTGCTGTGTTTCCTGATTCTCAACCAAGTAGAAAATGTCTCTCAGGACTATTCCACAACTCTCACAGGGGTGGCTTTTCTGGGAGGATAAAGCTACATTGGGATTCTTTGCCTGTGACACTCTCACAGAAACATGCTGGTCAGTGGGTGCCTCATCTTCTGCTCCACAGCAGCAACCTAGAGAGGAGATGAGGTCATAGTTCTCCAGCATCACTTCAAGGTACAGGTGTCTCTGAGCCTCATCAAGGAGGCACCATTCCTTCTTGGAGAAGCAAATGGCGACATCCTCAAAGGTCACACCAACCTCAGCTGGGGGCCTCTGTGGGCGAACCAGAGTGCGAGTGGTGGGAGCGGAGGCAACCCTGTGCACAGAGGTTCCTGTCCTGGGCCTAGTGCGAGTCACCTGGGTGGCTGGTTGATGGGGACCAGGACTCTTGCGCCTTCTCATTCTGGCATCTCCAATAGTGCTCCGACCCACTTAGGTGATCCTGAGAGGAGAGGAAATATCCATCATCAGAAGAACACTGGAAGTCAATTGTTGAATTTAAAAGGCAAACTGCACTGCCAAGCTTTCTGTAATAGCCTCAAAGAATTTGTATGAACAAACGTAGCTTTAAAAAAGTTCAGGTTACCTATTTCCTAAAGCACCCTTGTTGCCTGGGTTTTGAAGTAATTTGGATGAAATAATCAAACTCACGTGTTTGGCATGAAAGAAAGAAATATAAGAAAGAATAGCTACTGATTTCAAATGAAAATGTTTCTGGAGAAGATGGACCTTCTCTCATAAGTAATTACAGAGAGACATAAAATAACTTTGATTGGTTGCAACTTATTTTTTCTAGGATAAAATTTTTAAAAATGAGGAAAAAAAGCAAAAAAAAAAAAAAAAAAAAAAAAAAGCATATGCTCCATACATTAATAAAACATTCTCAGTCAAAATAAAAATTAAGCACATCATGTTTAGCTAAAAGTGAAAAATCTCCCAGTGATACCAACAACAATCAAGACTTAACTACAATAAGGCTGTACACACCCAGTCCACAAAGGGGTGCACCAAGAGTGTCCACCTCAGGTAACTGGGAGGCTGAACAATATAGGACACCTTAGCACACAAAGCCACCCTACCAACTCGGGGAAGCTGCGAAAATGCTGAAACAAGGAAACAGATCACAACGAAAGAAATGGAGAACAAAAAGCGACTGGATAGAGTTCAAAACCAAGTTTATAAGGTTTTTCAAGAATTTCCTAGAAAAGGCTGATAAAATAAACAAAACCTATGAGGATATAAAAAGAGATCAACTAGAAATAAAAAGGGATCAACTATAAATAAAGAATACACTGTCTGAAATAAAAAATATTATTCAGAATCCTAAAAACAGAATGGAAGATCGCAAGAATCAAGTCAAAGATTTGGAACATAAAGAACCAGGAGACACTCCTCCACAGAAGCAAGATGACAAGAGAATCCAGAAAGTTGAAGACAATGTAAGAAACTTCTGGGACAACTTCAAGTGAAACAACATCAGAATTATGGGGGTCCCAGAAGAAGAGAGCGAGCAAGATACCGAAAACATATTGGAAGAAAATGTGACAGAAAACTTCCCCCACCTGGTGAAGGAATTAGACTTACCAGTCCAGGAAGCACACAGAATCTCAAACAAAAGGAATCCAAAGAGGACCACACCAAGACACATCATAATTAAAATTCCAAGAGCAAAAGACAAAGAATATTAAAAGCAGCAAGAGCAAAGCAGGTAGTTACCTATAAAGGAGCACCTATACGATTGTCAGCTGATTTCTCAACAGAAACCATGCAGGCCAGACAGGAATGGCAAGAAATATTCAAGGTGATGAATAGCAAGAACCTACAGCCAAAAATACTCTACCCAGCAAAGCTATCACTCAGAATTGAAGGCCAGATAAAGAGCTTCACAAATAAAAAAAAGCTAAAGGAGTTCATCACCACCAAACCAGAATTATATGAATTGCTGAAGGGAGTTATTTTGGAAGAGAAAGAAAATAAAGATAAAAATTATGAACAACAAATACATAGCTATCAACAAGTGAATCTAAAAACCAAGGGAATTAGCCGGGACGAGTTTGGCTCAGTGGATAGAGCGTTGGCCTGCGGAATGAAAGGTCCTGGGTTCGATTCCGGTCAAGGTCATGTACCTTGGTTGTGGGCACATCCCCAGTGGGGGGTGTGCAAGAGGCAGCTGGTCAATGTGTCTCTCGCATCGATGTTTCTAACTCTCTGTCCCTCTCAATTCCTCTCTGTGTAAAATCAATAAAATATATATATTAAAAAAAATAAATAAAAATAAATAAAAACCAAGGGAATTAAAAAACCTGGTGAACAATATTAACTGGTGAATATAATAGAATCAGAGGTATGGAAGGGGAGTGGAATGACGATTCTCAGGGAAAAGAGGAGTGGGGGGTGCAGGAAGAGACTGAACATAAACTGTGCACCTATGGATGAAGACAATGGGGGTGGGGAAAGGGCAGAGGGTGGGGTAGGAACCTGGTGGAGGGGGGAAAAAAATGAGGAACTTTTGTAATAATATGAACAATAAAGGTTTATTTTTTAAAAAAGAGAGAGAGAAAGAGAGAGAGAGAGAGAGAGAGAATAATCCAAGGTGAGAAAATAAAAATAGAAGCAATTAAAAAAAAAAATCTGCCGAAACTGGTTTGGCTCAGTGGATAGAGCGTCAGGCTGCAGACTGAAGGGTCCTGGGCTTGATTCCGGTCAAGGGCATGTACCTTGGTTGTGGGCACATCCCCAGTAGGGGGCGTGCAAGAGGCAGCTGATCGATGACTCTCATCAGTGTTTCTAACTATTTCTCTCCCTTCCTCTCTGTAAAAAAAGCAATAAAATATATTTTTAAAAAATATCTGATGAACAATATTAACTGGTGAATATAATAGAATCAGAGGTATGGAAGGGGAGTAGACTGACAATTCTCGGGGAGAAGGGGAGTGGGGGATGCGGAAAGAGACTGAACATAAACTGTGCATCTATGGATGATGACAATGGCGGGTGGGGAAAGGGCAGAGGGTGTGGTGGGAACCTGGTGGAGGGGAGCAATGGAGGGGGAAAAAATGAGGAACATTTGTAATAATACGAACAATAAAGATTTATTTAAAATTAAAAACAATAATAAAAGTGAAAAATCTGAGATGATGATGATGAGTTCAACAGTGGCCAGAGTTGGCAGATCTCAGGAAGGCCTAAGGGGCCACATGTCACCACTTCCTCTAATTCTTAGTGCCACATCTGACAGCGGTCATGGCACTGGCCCACTTTAACAAGACTTCCCCCAGGCTCAGCAACAAATGAAGAGAAAAACATAGAACCATGACATTAAAAACACTACCTTCAAGGACAGTTTACTATCCAACACCACAAAATCCTGTCATATCTAGGGGAGATAAGGCTCTGAAAAAATTCTTGCTCTGACTATTCCCTGTCTCCAGAGAAGTGAGGCTTACATGAAGTTGTCACTTAATTACAGGAGTTGTTTCCTCAGATACCTTCCCACATTTATTGTTAACGCCCAGAATTTCCTAAAAAGGGAAACAGCTTCACAGACTATAAACTCCACTATTAAGAGGGGAACCAACTTGTCCCAGTTTGCCTGGGATTGCTCTGGCATTAAAGTCTGCCTCCTGGGAAACCCCTAAGTCCTGGGAATTCTTGGACAACTGCCACTGGAACTACACACAGCAGCTCAGTGAGGCCCAGGGAAAGTGATTGGACAAACTGCAGGGGGGAAAAAAAGTAGGTTCAGGTAGTAACTTGGTTCTCCTGGCTCTCAGGGGATAGATTGCCACCAAACTAATGGTGACATTATAGAAATCTGAGAACGATGAGAAGAGAATATCTGGGGAGCAGGAGAAGACCAAGCTTCAGGCAGGGGAAACCCATGGTTTCATCATGACCAGAATGTGATTTCTTCAAGAGGGAGGTCATCCATCAGACAGGTAGGCAGGAGTAGAGGCCACTGTTACTGATTCCTCTAAATAGGCCTGGACTTATTTCTGAGACTGAAATATGAGCTATGGACTAAAACTCATCTGAGGAGTGTCTCATGGATCTTCATAGGAAAAGATCCTATGATCCTTCCTGAGGAAAGCTGGGAGGAAACATGGAGAAAGAAATTATCCTGAGTACTCCCTGTAAAATTAGAGCTAACTGTCTGCACAAAATGACAGTACTTAATATGGAAAGCGAAACTCTGGACATTTAATTTGGAAAAAATATTAATGGATTGGTACACTGGTATACCCACTGGCAAATCCATTGCTTGTTTCACAAATTTCCTCATTTGGACCTCAGAGAACTAGGTAAGTGTTTTTACTGCATGAATATGTTGATTTCCTTGTTCTATTCACTGCAGTAATTTCAACTGTATACTCTGGGACATCTTATATGAGAACTTTTTCGCCTTTGGAGGTCCAAGTAGAAATTACTGTCAAGGTTGAAAATTGGATTGTTCCTTTCAAAATTTTCAATTAGATTTTTCAGATCTCCAAAGGAAGAGATATGAATATATTTTATTCCTGTTTATTCCCCGAGAGTAAAAAATACTTGCCCAAACCCCTGATATTCAAGTGGATAAAACTAGTTTTCAAAATCATCATTGTAGAGAGCTGTCTGGGAAGGCACAAGGACATTCTTTTAATTCTTATCAGCTGAGCCCGAGGGCACTGGCAGAGTCCTGTTATCAGTAGATTTCTTATCTTTATCCAAGTGCTTGGAATGAGGAACAAATAGGACCTTGAGTAACCCAGGTCTTGATATGCTAAATCTTGTACAAAAAGCCGAAATCGGTTTGGCTCAATGGATAGAGCCTTGGCCTGAGGACTGAAAGGTGTGTCGTGTGTCGTGTCCCCCCCCCCCCCCCCCCCCCCCCCCCCCCCCCCCCCCCCCCCCCCGCTCCTCCGGGTTTGATTCTGGTCAAGAGCATGTACCTTGGTTGCAGGCACATCTCATGGGGGGTGTGCAAGAGACAGCTGATCTCTCTCATCGACGTTTCTAACTCTCTATCCCTCTCAATTCCTCTCTGTAAAAATGAATAAAATATATATATTTTTAAAAATCTTGTACAAAAAAAATGAGGAACTTACCCAGGTCTTGATGAATAGGACCTGGGCACACCCAAAACTCCTTTTGACCTTAAACTCCCCTTTGGAAACCAATAAATGTGCTGTGTTGTCTGTGATGGGTGTGACTGCCTCTCTATCAGAGGACTAGGCTCCACCCGGCACCCAGCTTGAATCTATTTCTGCCTCTTGTCTCTTTCTCTAATTTCTTAATCCCCAGCTCCTCCACCGGGGAATCTGTCTTTCTTTCTTTCCGTGCGGGACTCGGAAAAAGGAGAAACACCACAATCATCTTTCTGAAACACTTCATATTTATATTCAGGAAATGGTAAATCCAGTTCA